CAAGAGAACTTCTGACTGACATGTCAGGTCCCTATCCCTATGGGCCGCGATTCTTTATGTGAACTACAGCCAGTCCTTCAGGGCCCTTCTGCCCTCCTGCCGAGCCTTTGATCGTCGGTTCAGGATTGCCGCACGGACCCCTCTTCGGGCCCCATTAAGTTCTTCACTTGGTCGGCTCGGGGCCCTGGCGAGCACAGGACTCCCTGTTGGGCACTGTGGGCCCCTGACAGATACAACGCCCCCGACCAATTTAAATCACTGGCCTGGGCTTTGTAGCTGATTGGGAAGTGGGCCCTCAGGCCCATGCCGACACAGAGCCGACTGTGCAGTGCTGGTGGTACCTGACAGACCTGACAGACAGACAGACAGATCCCTAGGCCTATATCGCCTCAGGGATCCCCGATCGCTGCAAAGGGCTCTCTGACCGTTACTTGAGGGTCCGTCTTCGCTGGTCGAGTCACTGAATAAGATTCCGACCAGCCCTTTATGCTCTTGGACCCTCCAAATGCGCCCTTGATCATCGGACCCGGTGGGCCCTCTAGGTTTTCGGGTCTCCTTTAACACTACCTTTGGAAGACTCGGAGTCCTTCATAACACAGGGCCCCTGCCAGGGCCCCTGCCAGGCGCTGTGGGGCCCCGAGCAATGTTAATGGCTGGCTCCAGCTTTGTCCCTGCTTTTGAAATGGGTCCCTGAGGCCAATTTCACCACGGAGCCGACTGTGCATCACTGGTGGTGTCTGATCAAAAATATGGGCCCATGTCGACTCAGTGGGCCCCTGATTAGCACGCAGGGCCCTCTGACCGGCGTTGGAGTGCCCGGTCCCGCGTGCCGGGGCCTCTGAATGGGACCTCCGGTCGGCCTTTCGGGTCCTTCGACACCCCAATCGGACCCTTAATCGCAGGTTCCAACTGGCCCTTCGAGCCCCTTGAAACCTGAGGGGGGGGGCGTCCCCCCTGTGCCCCCTTGCCTGCGCTACTGTACTCAGTACATCTCTCAAACTTAATCAATCCACGTCTATTCGCAAAGAGGTGCGGAGGTTATAATCACCATAAGCGGGCCGTGATTTCTTCTATCGCGACTCTCAGGGACCGCTTTTGGACTCGGCTCCGAATGATTCAGGCGGCAGAAAGTTGTACGCTGCGCTGAACTGATGCTTGCGACAAATGACCAATATTAGTCTAGACCTCTAGAAGTTTGGATTACCGCGGCGAAACAGGAGCCGGGAGGCAATACGGCTCCGCATGAAGATGAGGTTGGCACGTTGCACTGGGAGACGCGTTTTCCTCGGTTGCATCGACGCCTGATCCCGGTCAGCTCATGAACACCACCGCGCGCTTCCGTCAGCGCCCATCTTCGACTCACCGCCAGAAGAAGTGGCGCCATCTTGCAGGCACACTGAAGCAGAGCTGACGGAAGACGGGCGGCGCGGGAGCGTGCCACGCACCTCTCTCCCGGAGATCCGCTGCCTGCGAGCATTTTATACTACAGCGCTTAGAAAAAGTACCAAACCTGTATTGAACGCAGGGGTGTCTGGCCCACAAAGAGCAGTAAGCGTGCGAGATACTGACCGAGTGGACTTCAGTCAAAGAACAATGGTATTTGAATGTTGTAAGCTACACAAGAAAGAGGCTGAAGAAGCTTAAGCACACGGTCGATTTGTGCGTCACATCTGCAGGGGGGGGGGGGGGGGGGGCGACAATTGCTAAAAGAGTACCCAATTGCGGTATCTGCCTTCACATTCACCCATCCGTGGCGGGATGGGCTCCAGTCGCTTTAGGCGCTAGCCATATACTCTTGACTGGCATGACCTGAGATCGGTGGCAGCGGCCGCTTTTGAGGTCAGATGACGTGAGAGGGCAGGGCGGACCATGTTGATCAGTGCGGTGCGTTTAGCTTTCGCCACGAAATTTTGCCATTGACATGACATTTTGCAGTTGAATAAGAGGGGGGGGGGGGGGGTGTGTCTCGCGCAACAACCAGTGTTTAGCGTGGTCTCTGATCCCAGAAATCCGTCGATTCAAAAGGTTACGACTGAATCTCAAGCAGGTGTTCGTTTTTGTCAAGCAAACATGGCGGCGAAGGCAAGATTTTCGGTCCATTAAAGCAAATTGTCATGAACTCATTACGCGCAGCTCTTTGGTCGCCAAAAACCCCTTCGACGACAGGATGTGACCGTTTCGACGAAACCGAAGTATATCTTGACGGCTGACCACCATACCAGGGACATGGTCTACAGGGAGGTTCTTTGAGCCCACCAGCCCGCTGCCGGTGAGATGCACTCTCAGCTGACAGGGCAATGATGTGTCTACCTGGGACACAGCAGTGCTGATCTCCACGCTGCTCGTGGTCTTAGGTCTGGCCAGACCAAAAAATAAAAAAAGATAAAGACTGCAATCTGCTGCAGTCGCCTTCCCGCGGAAAACTGAGATTCAAACTACTTTCAAACAAAACAAAAAGAAAGAAAAGGTTTCGAACTAGTTTCAAATTAAAAGCCATGGCAAGCTCCAAGAAAACAGTGCCTTTCTCAAAAGCTGCTTTGTTCCTTTGTTTGTTGCTTTGTCTTTGCAGTGGTCTAACCGGACACCTAGCCACAACAATATCTGTTCGTGTAATAATCATTCGTAACCACCCGAGCCACGCCGAGTGAAGTGACTTCCCTCCAAGGTTTTTCAAGCACAACTGAAAGACGGAACGCTCGCAGCAACATCAATTTGCAGAGTTACCTCTTTATCTACAGATCTGGCATCTTCACGAGCAATTAAAAGTAGATTTGTCAAGGTCAGTGACCTAGATAGGTCAACTCGGCCAACTTCTAGAAACCTTTGACCCCGTGTAACTATTTTTGCACGTTATTCACCATTGCTCAAACATGCTACAGTAAATGAACATGACAATACCTACAGTTCGTTTGTTTTCAGCCATTTGGAACACAGGCGAGTTTCGTGACTTGAGCTGAGGTCAATGTTTTGCTGTTGTGCGTAAATGATCCAAATTCTACAAATTTTTACAAATCTACAAGTTTTAGTGCTTATATGTGATGAAAAGTGCCCTAACTCTCATGCACAACCACTGTAGGACCACAGAGCATGGGCATTGGCCCAGGTTATGACATTCCTCTATGGGTTATTTCTCCCAAATTATGTAATATGATTTAAATGCATAACAAGGTCTCGACAGGTCACGTGAGGATATGCAAAGTCATATGAGATCATTCAAGGTTAATGACTTCTGTGTCAGTAGCGGAGAGGCTAGATCAGCGAGTGCGCCGTGGGTGACCACCTCTATATCGCGTTTGTGGAGCCCGATGGCGTATAATCGCATGTACCACCCGCGTTTGTTCTCACTGTTACAACTACATCACCCAAGCGTGGAAGGGGCTATGTGTAATGTATACAATAGCTATGTGGTCTTGAGTGCCTGTTGAGCACACTATTTCTAACCATAGGTAAACCTTGCACCGAGCACCTAGACCAGGTTAGCATTTCGACTTTTTCGTTTGGATTGTTATGAAATTGGCCCAGTTGACCTCAACCTGCACCTCTAGGTCAGCCTAAAATGACATTTGGTGTCTGGGATGATTTTTCCTCACAGGTTTGCCTAATAGACATAACACTAGGTCCTGGACAGCAAATCGTGAAATAAATAAAAAAACATCGTGTCTTGTGAGGCCTATTGAGTAGAATCAATTTTGAACGGGGAATCAACCTGGCCCCTGACCCTTGTGCGAGGCGAAAATGGTCGAAATGGACTCCTCACAGTCTTAGAGCTTACTTTTATGCCCTCAATATTTTCGTTTTGACGGTACTAACATAGTGTTTATATGCCATTTATTAGAGCAACAGTTTTTTCCGTTTCGTGATCTTTGATGACCCCACATTTGGCCATAAGGCGAAATAATTGACTGTGTATTCTCCACCATCGACGAGACCTTTACAACGGTATCTTTTTCTCTCGTACGACAGTCT